TTTTTCATATAGTCCAGCTTCTCGAATTACCTGCTCAGCATGCAGATTGAATAAGTATGGTGAAAAGCTACAACTCTGATGCACGCTTTTCTTGATTTAAACCACACAGAATCCCCTTGCTCTGTTCAAACAACTGCCTCTTGATCTACGTACAGGTTCCGCATTAGCACAGTTAATTCTGGTATTCCCATTCTTTGCAATGTTATAATTATCTGTTATGATTCACACAGTCGAATGCCTTTGCATAGTCAATAAAACACAGGTAAACATCTTTCTGGTATTCTCTGACATCATCAGTGATATCTCTCATTCCACATCCTCTTCTGAATCCTGCTTGAATTTCTGTCAGTTCCCTGTTGATGTGCTGCTGCAACTGTTTTTGAAATATCTTCAGCAAAATTTTACTTGTGTGTGATATTAATGATATTGTTCAATAATTTCCACACTCTGTTGGATCACCTTTCTTTGGAATGGGCACAAGTAACTGGCTTCCAAATTTCTTGCTTCAGCATTGCATCCATTTGTTGAAGCATCTCAATTGGTATTCTGTCAATTCCTGGAGACTTGTTTTTGCCAATGCCTTCAGCACAGCTTGGACCTCTTCCTTCAGTGCCATCGGTTCTTGATCATATACTACCTCCTGAAATGGCTGATGAAGTCCTGCTGGTGTAGTGGTTAACAGCTTGGCTGCTAACCAAAAGGTTGGCAGTTCAAATCCACCAGCTGTTTCTTGGAAACCCTATGGGGCAGCTCTACTCTGTCCTATAGGATCGCTACAAGTTGGAATTGATTCAATGGCAATGGGTTTAGTTTTTGGTTTTTGAAATGGTAGAATGTCTACTAGTTCTTTTTGGTACAGTGACTTTGTGTATTCCTTCCGTCTTCTTTTAATGCTTCCTGTATCGTTCAATATTTTGCCCATAGAATCCTTCAAGATTGCAACTTTGGCTTAAAATTTGTCTTCATTTCTTTCAGCTTGAGAAATGCTGAGCGTGTTCTTCCCTTTTGTTTTTTAACTCCAGGTCTTTGCACATTTCATTATAACGCTTTACTTTGTCTTCTTGAGCCACCCGTTGATATCTTCTGTTCAGATCTTTTACTTCATTTCTCAAGAGCAAGTTTCAGAGTCTCTTTTGGCATTGATTTTGGTCTTTTCTTTCTTTCCTGTCTTTTTAGTGACCTTTTGCTTTCTTCATATATGATGTCCTGATGTCATTCCACAACTCATCTGGTCTTCAGTCATTAGTGTTCAATGCATCGAATGTATTCTTGAGATGATCTCTAGATTCAAATAGGTCATACTCAAAGTTGTACTTTGGCTCTCGTGGACTTGTTTTAATTTTCTTCAGCTTCAACTTGAACTTGCATAAGAGTAACTCATAATCTGTTCTTCAGTCCACCCCTGGCCTTGTTTTGACTGATTGTATTAAACTTCTCCGTAGTCTCTTTCCATAGATGTAGTCGATTTGATTCCTGTATATCCCATCCAGCGAAGTCCATGTGTATAGCTGCCATTTATGTTATTGAAAAAAAATATTTGCAATGAATGAATCATTGGTCTTGAAAAATTCCATCATATGATCTCTGGTGTCATTGTTATCACCAAGACCAATTTTCCAACTACCAATATGTCTTCTTTGTTTCGTGTTCCAATCACCAGTAAATATCAACACATTTTGATTGCATGTTTGATCAATTTCAGCTGCAGAAGAAATTTGAATAATAGTCGTATTAACTGGTCTTCCTTGTAGGAGTATGGATATTATCCTATCACTGACAGCGATGTACTTCAGGATAGATCTTGAAATGTTCTTTTTGAAGATGAATGCGACACCATTCCTCTTCAATTTTGTCATTCCCAGTATAGCAGACCTTATTGTTGTCCAATTCAAAATGGCCAATACCAGTCCATTTCAGCTCACTAATGCCTAGGATATCAATCTTTATGCATTTCATTTCATTTTTGACGACTTCCAATTTTCCTAGATTCATACTTCATATATTCCATGTTCAAATTATTAATGGATGTTTGCAGCTGTTTCTTCTCATTCTGAGTCACGCCATATCAGCAAACGAAGGTCCTGAAAGCTTGACTCCAACCACATCATTAAGATCGACTCTACTTTGGGGAGACAGCTCTTCTGCAGTCTTATTTTGAGTGTCTTCCAACCTGATGGGCTCATCTTCCAGCACTATATCAGACAATGTTCTGCTGCTATCATAAGGTTTTCACTGGCCAATTTTATCAGAAGTAGACTGCCAAGTCTTTCTTCCTAGTCTTTCTTAGTCTTGAAGCTCCACTGAAACCTGTCTGCCAAGGGTGATCCTGCTGGTATTTGAAATACAGGTGGCGTAGAGTCCAGCATCACAGCAACACACAAGCCACCACCACAGTATGACAGACATAAAGGCTAGGATTTAAAACACATCACAAAATGGAGGATAATTACATCAGATCACAAAATGGAGGATAACCATACCATATGGGGAATCATGGCCTAGCCAAGTTGACATATATTTGGGGGGGACACAATTCAATCCATAACATCCCCTGATCCTGAAGTATTATTCAAAATTCCCAATCCCTAGGAAGGCCACGCAACCTAGCTAAGCCCGCCCTACTTGCCATATATAAGCCCTCTCCTACAATTCCAGCTTGTTGTTACCTTGTACTCGGGTGCAGCCCCCTGTGTGGCCCTGCATCATAGCATGCTGTGCCTCCTTGTCTCTGGGAACTGTGAAAATAATAAACCTAGGTACTTTTCATGGCCTCCTTGCCTCCTCTTTCCTTTATCCCACCTGACTTACCATTCCACAAATTTGTTAGGGCAACCAGAAAAGTAATTATGTAATTATAAAAGATAGAATAAATGTATATTTTCTCTCCTTTCTTCTCTTAACTGATTTAAAAAGCAATTGTATGAAACAATGTGTACATTTGACAAAATCCAAAGCCCTTTCATAACAAAAGTGTTTGGTGTCCTAGTCATCTAGTGCTGCTATAACAGAAATACCACAAGTGGATGGCTTCAACAAAGAGAAATTTATTCTCTCACAGTCTAGTAAGCTAGAAGTCCAAATTCAGGGTGTCAGCTCCAGGGAAAGGCTTTCTCTGTCAGCTCTGGAGGAAGGTCCTTGTCATCAATCTTCCCCTGGACTAGGAGCTTCTCTGTGCAGTAACCCCAGGTCCAAAGGACACGCTCTGCTCCCGGCACTGCTTTCTTGGTAGTATGAGGTTCCCTTGTCTCTCTGCTTGCTTCTTTCTTTTATATCTCAAAAGAAATTGACTTAAAACACAATCTAATCTTGTAGATTGAGTCCTGTTTCATTAACATAACTGCAACTAATCTCTTTTCATCAACATCATAGTGACAGGATTTACAACACAAAGGAAAATCACAAAATGGTGGACAATCACACAATACTGGGAATCATGGCCTAGTCAAATTGATACACATATTTTTGGAGGACACAATTCAATCCATAACAGCTGGCAAACTAGAAATAGAAGAGAAATTACTCAATATGACAAAGGGCATTTATTTAAAACAAAAATCTGCAGCAAGCATCACACTCAATGGTGAAAGGCTGAAAACTTTCCCCTTAAGATCAGGAACAAGACAAGGATGCCCACTTTCACCACGGCTATTCAACACTGTACTGGAAGTAGTAGCAAGAGCAATTCAGCAATAAAAATAAAAGGCATCAAAATTGGAAAAGAAGAAAACTCTATTTGTATGTAACAAGATACTATATACAGAATATAAAAAAGAATAAACAAGAAAGCTATTAGAGCTAATAAACAAATTTAGCAAATTTGCAGAGTACAAGATCAATACACAGAAATCAGTTGTGTTTCTGTATACCATCAACAAACAACCTGAACAGGAAATTAAGAAAAAAACTGTGAAGTGACAATAATAGTATTTCCCAGGGTTGTTGCGCGGGAAAAAAAATAACACCTCAGACACGGACACTAAGGATATCATACTTCTGTAAAACCAAGCATGATTTGTAATGTGAGAGTAGGAAACCCCAGCCCCACTGAATCAAACTACCCTTCTCCTATATGTATAAATTATCTATCTCTCTATGGTGGTAGAGCAGAAAGGGCATTTGATTTCAAATCACAAAAATTTAAATCTGAACCATAGGACTTGATAGCCAGATCCATAAAATTGTGATAATAATACCTACTTCACAGGGTTGTTATGAAGCTAATAATATATCTAAGAGTTGTGACAACAAAGTATATGCATAGGCATATACTAGGCTCTCAAAAATGCTAACGAAAATTCCATTTGCTTTTGTGATAACGTATGTAAAGTCTTATCATAGTGTCTGTCCCCTCCCCCCACCCCCACCTTTTCTTGGATCTCTCTCCTTCTGCCAATGAACATTTAGTTCAGAGAAAGAGAGAGATCCAGATCAATGGTTTTCGAATTGCTGGTAATCACCTTTTAAGTGAGACGCTGCTCACATTTTAACATGGAGTGGAATGGAAACTAACAAAGAGCATTGTACATAGTAAGGATAAATATTATTTCCTGAAAATTTGATTTGTGTATTTGTTTGTGCTCTTGTGCTCACACACACATGTGTATGTGTATTGGGTCATTTTGCAAAATGCATTTCTTAATGTTGGCCATAGCCATAAAAGTTTGTATGCTTCAGACTCTGCCCTCCCCTCCCCAACACCACACCTCTATTTCTGGTGGGCCTTTAACCAGCTGCCCTAACTGGGTAAGACACGGTGCCCTCCCCTAGATGGGACATGATGGTTCAGGGCTCATCCTGGGAGCCAGCACGTGGGAGTTCAGGCCTCAACTCCACTCCGGCAGAAGAGATGGCAATTCTGGGAGAATTTCTGATCAGAAAGTCAGCCAGCTTAGAATGAAAGAAAAAGTGACTAGGCAGTTCCTCTGGTTAACAGCCCTGCCCCTCCATCGCTTGCTGGGAGTTATAAAACACAAGACTGGAAAACAACACCAGCAGCTGCCATGGGTGGTTGCTCTGAGAAGATGCATCTTCTTTCTATTCTCCTGCTGGTCTTTCTACTATCACCCAGAGCTGAAGCTGGTGAGTCTTGGGGGTCCTTCTCTCTGGAGTCTAGAGGATCAGCTCCTAAACCAAAGAGGCTTGATGTGAATATAGCTGACTCTTAAACAAAGTCCCAGGATCTCCCTTTAAGACTCCCAGAGTGAAGTCTCCACTTGGGATATACCCCCCCATTCTCTGTAGCCTATGGTAGTTCCCATGAACAAGGAATTCCACATTGACTGGGGAAAGTTCAGAGTAAGTGAGAAGAAGCGTATCCCCCAAGAAAACAGGCATGTCTTCTTAATCTTCTGAGCTTCAAGATTACTCATTATCTTGTGACTCGGTGTTTCTGTGACACCACTCATGGGCTGTGGAGAAGTCAGGATAGGAACCTGAGGAACTTGTCCTGCTCAGTGACACAGGAGGGAGAAGTGTGTATGGGGGGAAAATGCCTAAGTGACATCTAAGACAGAGTTAGTTACTGCATCCTGGAAGAAGGAATGAGAATTTACATGGGAAAAGCAGATACTAGAGACACAAGAGAGGGAAGATGGGTAGAAAACAGGGCAAGGATGAGACCCAAGCCTCTCTCAACTTTAACCCAACTTGTGCATTCTCTGGATAGAATATGTTGCCTGTATTCAAGCCCTGGGGTTCTCTGTTCCAGGAGAGATCATCGGAGGCAAAGAGTGCAAGCCACACTCCTGCCCCTACATGGCCTACCCGGAAATTGTCACTTCCAGGGATCACCTGGGGAGTTGTGGTGGTTTCCTGATAAGACAGGACTTTGTACTGACAGCTGCTCGCTGTGCAGGAAGGTGAGAAGACAGGGTCTTGTTGATCTCCAAGTGGGAGAAATGGCAGAAACCAGGGATACACCCATGGTGTGGCTTGAGGAGCAGCTCCTAGACCTGGATAAACTTTAAGAAGAGGGAGGAGCTGGACTTGAAGAAATTAGCCTCATACTTGAATAGATGCCCTGAACCTCAGCCACTGGGAGCTGAGGAAAAAGATATACCCTCCAAGGGTCCCTCCTCTAAAAGTAGCACCCCTTCACTCCCCTACCCCAACAAAAAGATATGTGACCCACTTTGGGGGCCTTGGTTTACTGGGCCACTTCCTCTATACCCTTTTCAAGAGCCCTGATCTTTAGTTCTTAGGGACCAGAACCCATCCTATTTACGGGAAATAGAGAACAAAGTTCACATGGGACCCCACCACTTCCCCCCTTCCTTTGCTATCCCTTGTACCAGAGGGCTGGCCCTGATATAGGCTCCCTGGATTAGGAAATGCTAACCCCATCCCTGTCGTTCCTCCATGACTAGCTCAAAAAAACTGAATCCACTGCTACTGAGTCCATTCTGACTCATATCAACTCGATAGGACAGAGTAGAATTGCCCTATAGGGTTCCCAAGGCTGTAATCTTTATAGAAGTTGACTGTCACATCCTTCTCCCCTGAAGTGACTGGTGGGTTCGAAATGCCAACCTTTCAGTTAGCAGCCGAGGGCTTAACTACTGTGCCACCCAGGCTCCATGACCTGCTCAGTCCCCAGCAATTCCTGAGGGTCCTGGAAGTTATCTCCGTTCCCTGGAAAAGCTCTTCCCTAAGTAAACCTGAGCATTCCAAATGACACAAGTGGCAAAGGCATGGGTAGAGACCAAGTGACAGACTCCAATCCACTTTTCTCGAAATGGTTTCATCTCAGGAGAAAATCCAAACCATCATCGTTTCTCCTTGTCCTTCTTTCTCCCTCACAATAGCTCTGTAACGGTCACCCTTGGAACCCGTAACATAAAAGAGAAACAAGGCACACAGCAGAAGCGTGAGGTGGTAAAACAATTTCCTCACCCAAGATATAACCACTTTACTGTTCACAATGACATCATGTTACTAAAGGTGACAACATCTTTCTTCTTCTTCTTCTTCTCTGCTTCCTGTCCTCTTAGGCTTCTCCTTCAGGTCCCCATTGCCCTGAAATTTCCCCGACTTCCCTCTGAACTGCACCCCCTCCCAACTCACCATTTGGACTTTAGCTCTGGTGGGAAGTTTTTTGCCCTGATCCTCCATGATTGCCTCCAACTGCTCTGTGACTCATTTCTAGTGCTGACAGCCCCCCATTCCCTTCACAGTTAAAGGAGAAAGTCAACCTGACCCTGGCTGTGGGAACACTCCCTCTCCCATCCCAATCCAACTTTGTCCCACCTGGGAGAACGTGCTGGGTGGCTGGCTGGGGAAGAACAACAGTGGAGGAACCAATGTCAGACACTCTGCAAGAGGTGAAGCTGAGACTCATGGATCCCCACGCCTGCAAGCACTATCCAAATTTTGACCACAATTTCCAGCTGTGCGTGGGCAATCCCAGGAAGACAAAATCTGCATTTAAGGTGACTCTCAAAGTTGGATTCTTCCCCATAAATCACTGGTGGGGGACCTTCTCCTGGAAGGAGATGGGGTCAAGAGATTGCCACCCAGTGAACAGGTTTGGGATTGCAGGACTGAGAAAACTAGAACTGTCCCTCTGCAGATCCTCCTCCTATGGTCCAGTACAGTTTCTGACTTTCCCTCCCAGTCTGCTGCACAGGGCATGTGAGCAACATAAAGAAGGCATGGCGGCTGTCCCAGGAAAGGAAGAGGGCATCAGACCTGGAAGTGCAACCCCATGAGTAGTCTGGGCTCCAAGGCCTGACTCTAGGTCTGCCTGTGACTAGGAATTGGGACACACAGGCAGGAGTGGAGGACTTCCTTAACTCACTTTCTGCACTCTCTCTCTCTATCTCCCTCTTTCTCTCTATCTCCCCCAACAGGGAGACTCTGGAGGCCCTCTTCTGTATGCTGGAGTGGCCCAGGGCATTGTCTCTTATGGACAGGGGAATGCAAAGCCCCCTGCTGTCTTCACCCGAATCTCCCATTACCAGCCTTGGATCAATAAGGTCCTGAAGGAGAATTAACCCCAGGAGGCTGGGCCAGCCTGAGAAAAAACCCATACCTGGACTTGAGCCAAGTTCTCTGTGCCACTCACTCTGGACCTGCCTCTGGTTCCTGCTGAAGTCTTGCCACATCCCTGTGCCTCAAGAAGTTTCCTGAGTGTTACAGCGCTCTCAGTAAACTTCAGTAAAGACCTGCTTCCATTTGTTGGTTACGAGTGATGGGAGGGGTGGGGACGGGGGGAAATACTAAATAGGCAATAGATAAGTGTTATCTTTGGTGAAGGGTGAGACAGTACACAATACTGGGGAAACCAGCATAACTTGTACAAGGAGAGGTCTTGGAAGCTCCATAGACACATCCAAACTCCCTGAGGGACTGAACTGCTGGGCAGAGGGCTGTGGGGACCATGGTCTCGGGAAACATCTAGCTCAATTTGCATAAGACAGCTTATAAAGACAATGTTCTACATTCTACCTTGGTGAGTAGCTCCTGGGCTCTTAAAAGCCTGTGAGCAGCCATCTAAGATACTCCACTGGTCTCATCCCTTTGGGAGCAACGGAGAATGAAGAGAACAGGATACAAGGAAAAGATTAGTCCAAAGGACTAATGAACCACAGCTACCACGGCCTCCACCAGACTGAGTCCAGTACAGCTAGATGGTGCCCGGCTACCACCACTGACTGCTCTGACCGGGATCACAACAGAGGGTTCTGGACAGAGCTGGAAAAGGATGTAGAACAAAATTCTAACACACAAAAAGAGACCAGATTTACTGGCCTAAAGGAGAGTGGAGAAACCCTGAGAGTATGGCCCCCCGATACCCTTTTAGCTCAGTGGTGAAGTCACTTCCGAGGTTCACCATTCAGCCGGGGAGTGGACAGCCCCATAAAACAAAATAGGACTAATGAGGTACAATAGTCCAGGGACAAGGTCTAGAAGGCAGAAGGGGACAGGAAAGCTGGTGATAGGGAACCCAAGGTTGAGTGAGGACAGTGTTGATGTGTAGTGAGGTTGTTAACCATTGTCATAGGGCAACGTGTACTAACAGTTTAATGAGAAACTATTTTGTTCTGTAAACCTTCATCTAAAGTGAGAATAGCAGCACAATTGGAAGAGCGTAGTCGAAGTCACTGAACTGTGCATGTAGAAATTTTTGAAATAGTGTATCTTTGGCTATGTATATTTTCACCAAAAAACAAAAAAGGTCGAGAAGAGAGAGGGTTGACATGTCGTGGGGTTGTTAACCAATGTCATAAAACAATATGACAATATGTGTACTACTGTTTAATGAGAAACTATTTATTCTGTAAAACTTCACCTGAAGTACAATAAAAAAAAGACCTGCTTCCAGACTTGAGTGTTTGTCTCGTCTCTCTGCTCCTCTCTTCTCCCTGCACATAGCAACCTGATTCCTAGCCTAGGAAGTCTGTAAGATTTGGGAGGGTTGTGGGTGTGTGAGTGGGTAAGACAGAGAGAAGACAATAAGGAAAAAATAGAGAAAGAAAGGAGTGGAAGGGTTTCCCTAGAGAGGCAGAATTCACATTTCCAACTTAAACAAGAAATTACACCAGATCTTTCCTTGCCTTAATCAACTCTATACCAATTCTGATGTATCTTTAGTAATATTCAGAAACAATAAGAACATTTCAAATTGCAAACATAATGTAGGATGCTGAGCAGGATTCCTGGCTTCTACCTACCAGATGCCAGTCGCAATCCCCCTCCAAGTTGTGACAACCAAAAATGTCTCCAGACATTGATAAATGTCCCCTGGGGGTGCCAAATTGCCTCCAGATGAGAACCACTGGTTTAGACACATGATATAAAAAAGGCAGTTGGTGCCACACAGGGCCTCCCTCACAGTCCACCTAGATAAGAGAAGATCTAGCATCTCTGGAGCTTTGAATTTGTGATGCAGAGAAGATTGCCTCTCACTCACGGCTGCAAAACAGACACCAGGAGCAGATAAGAGGAGCGACAGCATCACAAGGTCTGCATAAGCAACACCAAGCCACAAAGGGCTTCACTCAAACCAGCAAGAAGTAAAAGCCTAGATTCTGCCCAGCACAAACTCTTGCCAATTGCCCTAGCTACATGAGACAAAGTAGGGCAGGACAGGGACAGACTACAGGAACCTGAGGCTGATAATACTCACCACTTCCGAGGATGTAGTGTAATCCCTTTGACCAAGTGAAGTATTTCTAGGGATTTGTCTTAAAGAAATAATCAGAGATACACACAAAGATTCCTGTATAAATATTTTAATCTCAGCATTTTTAATTATAAAAAATGTTGGAATTTTAAATGGTAAACTCATATGGTTGAATATTTTGAATTCATTAAAATTTTGTTTCCAAAAGCATTTAATGAGTAGGAAATTTCAATATAATGTAACATTTTAAAAAGAAATATAGAAATCTCCCTATAGTAGAATCTCAGTTTTGTACTTTTATATTCTATGATGCATCAGGAAAGACTGAAGTAATTATATCAAAATAATTATGGTGGTTATCTCTAGCGGATGGGATTAACAGCTATTTTGTTTTGTTTACATGTTAGCTCCAAGCCCCACATATTTTAACTATTGGGAATTTAGCACCATGTATCAACTGGCCAGAGGATTAGCACATATGACCATCTTTCATCTTCCATTTGTTAAGGTTTGCTCCACGGGGAGTCAACATTCCTGCACTTTCAGACAAAGAAAGAAACTCATCTGAAGTAGGTATCAATACCAATAAGAACAAATTGGGGCTCCCTCCAAACTAGAATTAGTCTCATGTAATCTCACCAGGTGGCTGCCTGGTCTCCCCAAGAGGAGTGTCATCTCAAGGGCTCAGCAATAGTCTCCACTACTGGGATGTTGAACACTCAGTGGTGGCAGTAGTTGAATCAGCCTTGGTGAGAGAGAGCTTACGTTCTTGGACCCATGAATAACCTGTATTCTTGCCTCCATGACCATTGTGCCAGAACTGGTGTGGTCAAGAAAAAATCTGGCTAATGTCCACAGAACATATCACCCTTCCACCTGGTCTTTGGCACTCTCTGTGAGTCCACTGGGCCAGTGCTCAGGCACAGCAATCTCTCATCAGGCATCACTGTGCATGAGGGCTTCTTGGTCTGTGCTGACAGCAATAACCAAGGATTTTTGACCATAGAAACAGCGTGAGCTGTCACTAGGGCTGCTCCAGCCTAAAAGTAAAGCAAGCCATCAACTAAGTGGGGTCCAGTGGATCTGGGGTAGTACACAAACTGGCCTAGGTGCACTGGCCCTTCCCTCAGGACTTTGGTTAGGACTCTACATGAACAAAGCTCACTTCTGTCCTATTAATTATAATGAGGTCAGCAGCAGGGTAAGGACATAACATCAAGTATCCATACAAATGTCATGCGTTAGAGTGGGTGGGGCAGAGGTATGGGTGGGTTTGAGGAAGTGATGCTAGTGGAGGATGAGAAAAAAACTTCATAGTTGCCAGCTAAACTGATATTCCCAACAATGTCCTCAGAATATTAACCAAAGTAGAACAAGACCCAGAAAGCCACAAACCTGATTAAACATCCTCCTCTACCAACTAACACGAGTAACTACTGCTTCTTTACTAAGAACAACTCTAAAAAACCAAACCCATTGCCATCGAGTTTATTACAACTCATGGCAACCCCACGTGTTACAGAACAGAACTGCTCCATAGGGTTTTCTTGGCTATAATCTTTGTGGATGCAGATCGCCAGGCATTTCTTTTGTGGAGCCACTGGGTGGGTTTGAACCAATGACCTTTAGGTTAGTAGTCAATGCACCACCCAGGAATCTAGGACAACTGTAGCCGCAAATTAAACCCCCAACCTCCTAGATAAAAATAATAATAAAAAGAATTAAGATACCCAGTCACTGAAAGTCCCCTACTTTCTGACAACATCTAGTCCAGAAGTGGTCTTCACTTGAATCTTTCTTAGCATCACTCAGAACAGTCATATAAGCCTCTCTCAACTGCTTCTTAATGAGATGCTCCTAAGTTCTCCTGGGGCATGGTCTCCCCTGTTGCAGCAAGCTAAATAAATTTTGTTTCATTTCACATGTGTCTCTGGTGGTTTTCGGTTTGTGAACTTTAACAAAAAAGTATTGAAGCAAGGATTGTGACTCACCATCCGTATGTCCAAATTCAGACCAAGGATATGAGATGAATGAGGAGAAATGAGTTTCTGCTTTCCCGTCAACACTCCAGGCCACTTAATGAATCTCCAAGAGCAGGAGGTCTGGATTCTGTTATCTACCTCTGTCCTGGGCTCTATTCACTTCTCAGACAAGATATGTGGCAGAAAGATCAGTGGATTGGGATTTGGTATCAATAAGACATGGGTTGAAAACCCAGTTCTAGCAGTTAGGAGCTCAAGCCTCAATTTTCATATTTTCATACTTTCATATCTGTGTATATCCTTACCTTGAGCCAGTTCTCTCCATATAAAGTGGATAACCAGACACACCATCTGTTGTTGTTGCTGTTCAGTGCCCTGCAGTGGGTTCTGACTCATAACAACCCTATGTACAACAAAACAAAACACTGCCCTGTCCTGCGCCACCTTCACAATCATTGCTATGCTTGAGCCCATTGTTGCAGCCACTGTGTCAATCCATCTCGTTGAGGGTCTTCTTCTTTTTCACTGACCCTCTACTTTACCAAGCATGATGTCCTTCTTCAGGGACTGGTCCTTCCTGATAACATGTCCAAATTATGTGAGACGAAGTCTTGCCACCCTTGCTTCTAATGAGCATTCTGGCTGTACTTCTTCCAAAACAGATTTGTTCGTTCTTCTGGCAGTCTATTCATATTCTATATTCAATATTCTTCATCAACACCACAACTCAAAGGCATCAATTCTTCTTCAGTCTTCCTTATTCATTGTCCAGCTTTCACATGCATAGGAGGTGACTGAAAACACCGTGGCTTGCGATAGGCGCACCTTAGCCCTTAACATGACACCTTTGCTTTTTAATACTTTAAAGAGATATTTTGCAGCAGAT